GGTGTCGCACGGCATAGGGTCAACGCCTGAGCCACCGGCCCGACCGCCTCACAGTGCGCATGGCAAGCAAGCCGGTGTGCGGAAAGATCGCGCAATGGTCCCGTAGACTTGCCGCAGCCACGTCTGCCGCAATGGCCCGGTGCGACGGCAACGGAAGCGAGGCGCCCACAGCCACGTCACCGCTTACCAGGTCACACTCGGCGACGGTGGGTCGCAGTTGGAGCTCCGTGTCCAAGCCCAACCGACGGCGGCATGCATGCAAACATGCAAACATGCATGCATGCATACATGCATACATACATACATACATACATACATACAGGCAGACAGGCAAACAGACAGACGGAGAAACCAAACCTAAACCAAGCGGTGATTGAGCAGAAACAGGCGTACTTGACAAGGGGCACCACTCCACACATATCCGCTCGTGCGCACGGTCTGGGTCGATCGCTTCGTCGATCATCGGGTCGGTCGCGGATATCTTCAAACGGCCCTCACCACGAAACACCGAGAGGCAGATGCTGCCGGAAAACATTTTCTGATCATGGGGCTGCAGGCACAGCGTGCCGTGAGTTGAAAAAGCCCGGAAAGCATGAGGAAAGTGAGCCGTAAGCCAGAGCATGGAACGCAAGTGAACAACACTACAAACTATCGTGAATGACGAAAACTTGCGGGCCTGTGGTCCTAAGTCACCGTGTCTTGGACGGGTCTCCTCTGTTGAAAACGCTGCAGGTAACAGCGGGGCAGTACGCGGGTCCTCAGTCACAGCAACTCAAGCCTCATGGCAGGGAACAAGTCCAGCTCATGCACAGATCCCACACGACGTGTCCCACCAACATTGACCAGGCACATAGTCGTCATTATCAGGGTCGTAGCCCTTGTAGCACGCGTACGGGTCCTGGCAGGCCAACAGAAACGACGCCATCACAAATTAACGCTGCAAGATGCGATTGAAATGCGCAACCCGTACCACGATGCTGTGCAGACTTGCAAGGTGTCAAAGTCGATAAACTCCGGAAGCTTGCGGTCAGAAAACCATAGGTCCCTCTGGGTCTCCTCTTTTGGCAACAGCGGGGCAGCACCCGGGTCCTTAGTCACAGCAACTTCAGGCTCATGGCCGGGAACACAAGTCCAGCTCATGCACAGATGTCCCACCAACATTGACCAGGCACATAGTCGTCATTATCACTGTCAGTATCAGGGTCGTAGCCCTCGTCGCACGCGCACGCGTCCTGGCAGGCCAACAGAAACGAAGCCATCACAAATTAACGAGGCAAGATGCGATTGAAATGCGCAACCCGTGCCACAGTGCTGTGCAGACATGCAAGGTGCCAAAGTCGATAAACCGCGCAAGCTTGCGGTCAGAAAATCATAGGTCCCTCGGCATAAAACATGCATTTTCACACAAACACACACTGTGCAGCTGACCCAATCTAACAGAATTTCACGTTTGTAGGGCTTAAGGGTCAAGATTGGGCCTTCAGGGTTTCAACCTCGGCCAACATATGCGAATGCCACGTTCGTGATCGTTTGTGGAGACATGATTCATATTCCAGGAACTCAACGAATCACCCGGCCACGTTCAAGGAGCCCTTGCATGCGGCAGCATGCAGCTGCTTTATATAGAATCACGGTGACATGCATCATCAAGCCGGGAAGCCTCAGCCTCCTGAGCAGCCTGCTGCTCCTCCGAGCCTTCCGCGTGTACAAACATCAGGAAGTCCTGACAGGCCAAGTCAATTGAAGCATTGAAGGCCAAGAGGCCTGCGCAATGACAAACATGGAAGGTCACCGGTGGCCGAAAGCCCCATCTTTGAAGGATCTGCGGTGCAAAACCGAAAGAAAGCTTGAGGATTCAGCCCGAATAATCGGAGTCAGAACCTCAACCACCCTCAACCCCACAAATTGAGTACAATGCGATTAACGCGAGCACATCCCACAAGCCAAACAGTCATGTCGTTCCATTGTGTTGCCTCTACGGTTCAGGCGATTTAGGGTTCGGGATTTGGGGTTTCCGTTGGGTCAGCCCTTTTCCAAAGAGCCCCCGTCTCGGGCGCGGGAGCTGATAACAGCCCCTGCCGAGGGCTCCCCCATTAGTCAACCATAAACCCCGGGTCCGAAAAAGTCATCCCTCCATCTAAACCTACGCACTAACCCCGCAGGCTTGCGGTCAGAAAATCATAGGTCCCTCGGCATAAAACGTGCATTTTCACACAAACACACACTGTGCAGCTGACCCAATCTAACAGAATTTCACGTTTGTAGGGTTTAAGGGTCAAGATTGGGCCTTCATGCAGGTTTTAATCGGCCAACATATGCGAATGCCACGTTCGTGATCGTTTGTGGAGACATGATTCATATTCCAGGAACTCAACGAATCACCCGGCCACGTTCAAGGAGCGAGCCCTTGCATGCGGCAGCATGCAG